AAGTTCAACAATTTTCTGTCGTTACACTAAATTGTGTGTCGAATTATGAGACTGCATTTTGTCACCAAATTACATGTACTCCCGACTTTCCCGCGTTATATGCTCTGGGTGTCTGGACACACTACTGGGACACACACAAACATAACATTTTATGTAAATGAGTTGAGTACAGACAGTTATACATTGTATCAAACATGTTTAGGCTACAGTCATAATGTTTTGATTAGTAGTGATAAAATCAGTGGCAATTTCATTAGGTACTTGCTCTGATGTATCAACATTTACCACAATCTGATTGTCCAATGTTTAGTGAAAACGATTGTAATTGTTGCCGATCTTTTCACCTTTCAGTTTGTTTGTTCCAATTTCAATAGCTAACAATTTTGAAGTGTTTTGACAGACAAAGTTTACAACTCTTCGTGTATACGAGATACATATTGTATTTGTTCTGTTAGAGCGCAAACAAACCAAGAATTGCAGTTTGTTGCCCAGAGATTATTAAAATACTACTTATTTTAACCTTAGACCCATCACCTCTGTAGTTCACATAAGCAGATACACTACTAATAGAGCAAATATAGCAAAATAGGAGTCAATGATTCTATATTTTCTTTATATGGTTAGCTTTACATAACATGTGACTGCATACTAACCAATCAGCATAATTCAAGCAATAAGGTAGACTGACTTAAATTGTTGTGAAAGTGTTACCATTTACAATTTTTTTTTTTCCTAAACTAAAGAATAATAAATGAATGTACTTACTTTAAGTAACAATTTACAAATTTCATATTTTCCTTTTGCAGATGCTTCATGTAAAGGCGTAAATTTCCATAGATCAGCAACATTAACTATGGCACCATGCTTTACCAGTAATTCAGTGACTTCATAGTGACCATACGAACATGCATTATGTAAAGGAACTAGTCCCCTATGAAGGAAAAAGAAAAACACAACATTTATATTTCTCTTGTGACTGTAAAATAATTCATTGCAAATACATAGATTAAGGTAGAGTTTCTGAATTGTACGTATTCTGTTTTTGTTTTTTATATCCCAAAGATAGAATTTGTTAATGTTTCAGGCCCTTTACAACAACTGAATAAGAAATCATTACAAAAATGGAACTTAAAAACACAAACTATAGAGACTTATAACTCATTTTATTTCTGTATGTTATTAAATCGGTTTATAATTGCAGATTGCTCACTTACCCCTTATCTTTAGCATGTACATCGGCACCATTTTGTAATAAATGTTCTACAACGGCAACTCTGTTGTAACCAGCAGCAAAATGTAATGGAGTGGAATGTCGGCCTTCTACATCACGACAATTCACTAGATGAGGATTTTTACTCAGAATTCCCTGCCAATATAAAGTATAAAGTTCAAGTTGTTCATTAGCAAACATAATTACAGCGGGTGTCGAATTACAGTACGTAACTGACCATGAAAACCACTGTTTCCCTATCAATTTAATTTGCATCACTGCAATATTTCTTGGAAAATTCTAAGCGTGTTTGTTACACTTGTAATTATTTACACACTAGATTCAATAATTTCAGATGAAGCAAACTCATACCTTAACAGTTTCTAAATCTCCTGCTTTGGCAGCTTCTAATAACTGATAATTTTCATCAGGTCCGCTAATGGGTGGCTCTTCTGTAAAAAGAAAGGTGAATTGTTAATAAATATAATCTATAAGCTAACAAAACAAATGTAATAGATTCAATTTGGAAAGAAACACATCACAGTTTAGGAAGCTACAAGCCATCAGACAATTTGGAAAGAAACATGACAACAGACTTTGGAAAGAGATACACAGGTAAATACCCAAGCATTTGGGCTAATTTGAATACCAACTCATTTGCATATTCATTTCTAATAGAAAATAATTAACAAATCAATAACCCATGTTGTTTCTACCACAACCATAGTATTTTTTAAAAGTCCAAGCAAAGTATTTCTGTGGCATAGGAAGTTTAAATCGCCATACCTACAAGTTCTGGTGAGTACACTAGACTAATTTACACAATTATTAATCTGGAATTGATAAACTAGAAAGTTTTATTGCTTACCCATAATGCCCTGCAGCATCTTCTTAATATTTTCAGTGGCTACCTGAGCAGCGCTCACTCCTTGCAATGATATGATACTCGGATCAACACCGTACGTTAAAAGTAATCTACAACCTTGTGAGGAGCCATCCCGTGCTGATCTATGTAACGCTGTCTGACCCAAACTATCCAGACCATTCACCTGTAATAGATAAGGACAATGCTGACAATCAATGTGAAATCACACTAAAAAAAATTGTCTGACAATTATCGATAATTCAAAAGATTTTCCTTAGTTACAGATTTTGTACCTTGGCACCATGTTTAAGTAGAGTTTCCATTACATCAAAGTGACCTTTATCAGTTGCCACATGCAGTGGTGTTAAAAATCTACAAAAATAAGACATTATTAAGTTAGATATTATGAAATCCCCAGTTTTGCATTTCAAACAATAAATATGTATTTATTACTCAGATATTCCATCACCCACTGTCCCTGAGTTTCTTAACCTTTCATCTCTCGATCCACATACCTGTGCAGTAAGTCTATTCATAAGTGTGTATGTGGTAAGTCTACTCTAGCAAGGATGTTGGAGGTTGTATCTGATTTGACTATGTAGTAAATGTATCTGCCAATCAGATTCAATGTTACAAATATTAAAATTTAAATGTATCAGCCAATCAGATCCAATGTTACAAATATTAAAATTTAAATGTGTCAGCCAATCAGATTCAATGTTACAAATATTAAAATTTAAAATATGCCAAGCTCAGCTTGCAATGATTATGTCTAATTATGTATGCTACAGCTGTTGTATCATAATCGATATACAATCGTTGTTGTGCCGGTCGATGAACAGTGGGTCCTGAAATAACCTTGGATTGAGCATGTGTAATTAGTTGATGCATGGCTAAACATTCCTCTATTCCAACTTTCACAATGCGACTAACGTACTAACGTAACTTCAAGGTAATATGTGGAGAAGTGGGCTGGAACATTATACCTTGAACATTCAAGGTAAGATGTACAGCAGAGCCCAATTATGGATTTGAAATGAAACAAGAAATGAAGCATTAACCATGGAAAATGTATGGGTTCTACAACATGCATAACCACAGAACCATTCTAAATGTCATTCTCCCAAAGCTATCGTACTTATCCTGGTAAGAGCCCATGCCGGGGCAAACGCCCACCCCCCACTTTTGACACAACAAAGAAGTTGAGGTCATATCACGCCCAGGGGGTCTTTTTCTACACAAAAAATAAAAAAAAATTATTTTCTATTCGTTGACTGTGGTTGTATTAACAGTCTGTCGGGATGCTTATAAATATTCTTTAAATATAATTGTTAATTGCGTAGAACATGGGATGAACTTGAAATAGCTGTGACAGCAAAATAGGTATTTCGCTTTCTGCCTTCAGGAAAGCGCGTTCACCGCTGATTTACATTTATTTTTCAAGATTTTTTTTTTCAGAATCATAACAGTCAGCAAGTCTATAAAAATATACAGACCCGCCAGAAAGTATTTACGCACCTGTCATTTGATCGTTTTCGTAACTAAAATAACAATTCCGGGTAACATGATGTGTTGACTTTAAAATATACTAAATTTAAGAAGAACTAATGCATTTTAGTCAAAATAAAATGGTTGATTTGTGTTTAGTTTTTTTGTATGTAGACATTTTTTCAGTGAGCGAAAATCCCCATGGTTAACTCTATGGGAGCGCGCTCATTTGCATCTCATTAAAACTTCGCGCCATAAAACATGTGCGATAGTCGTGTCCTTTATCATGCAAATTTGAACCAATTGGGAAGCTGAAATTATTTCAACACGCGCTTCTGGGCAGGAATACCTGTCAGTTGTAGTTCATGAATATTCCTATCGAGGTCATAGTGTCAGATACGTAATTTTTATTTACAAACATTGAGCCATGTCGAAAGTTAGGGAATTGTCAGGGAACATTGGAGCACTGTATACAGAAGGAGTTTCTAATAGGGAAATA